AGGTGCAAGGATTGCTTTTAGAATATGGGATGTTGGAGGTAAGTTGAATCATTTGACCCTGCTGCCTTTGGTTTGGTGAGAATGCCTTCTTTTATCTTTTTCTTGTATTGGAATTTGGTGCAGTTACAGTGAATTTTAAGTTTAAAGATTTTTAGAAATCTACAAGTTCTTGATATAGTAGTAATATTTTTGGATATATATATATAGGTGATAGAAGGTCCCTTGATCAAGTCCCAATTGCTTGTAAAGATGCTGTTGCAATTTTGTTCATGTTTGACCTCACCAGTCGTTGTACATTAAGCAGGTAAAATTTATATGCTTGCAGTTGCAGCCATCATACAGAAAAGCTTGAATGTAGAAGGTTTTTTTTTTCCCATGCATTACTTTTTGCTCAAAAATTCTCTTGTACTGTGATTGCCAGTGTAATTGGATGGTATACTGAAGCAAGAAAGTGGAATCAGGTACTTTACTTCAGGACAATAACTCCTTTAGGTAGAGATAAAGGGAGTAACTCCTGTAGTTAAAGATTTATGTGTTCATTAGAGAGAGTTGGCCTTGACTAGTACGTATAATAATATCCCAATTCCCGCGGTAGGAAAGGAGTATTCTAATAATGGTAATTGGCAATAATTAGACTTGTTCGTTGATAATCGGAGTTGCTTCAATAATTTCAATGCTCATAATTAAAACTTGATGATCTCAAGATTATGGTATGAGATGGGATGCTTCTTGTTTGGATGGAAAGGGAATGAGTTTAATTGTTTACTTGATTGGTTTTGCTGATTGATGCCTCCTCCTCATCTGAAACTATTTGCAGACTGCAATTCCTATCCTAATTGGGGCCAAGTTTGATGATTTCGTTCAGCTTCCACCAGATATTCAATATACTGTCATAACTCAGGTAAAAAAAAAAAAAAAAAATTTGTTTATTAAGTCCAAAAATTCACCTGCTCTTTTTTTTTTATTTTTTATTTATGGACTGTGTGATTCATGCTCAGGTAACAAAATGTTCTTGAAATTCACTCTTATCATATATTTTTTTTTTTAACGCGCGAGGCTCCTTATCTGTAATACTGAGTTGTCTATTTCTGTGAAACATGTGATCCAACTTTCATGCTAATAACAACTTTTCATGATAAACTGCATGTAGAAAAAATCAAATATTTAATGAGGGGCATACATACCCCACGTGTACCAGATGTTGAGCCCTTGTTTTTTTTTTTTTTTTGGTTGGTGCCTTTGGGAAAAATAAGGGAAAATTTTGGAGTCTTGAAGATTGTCACTTCAAAGACAAGTGTGTTAAGAAGAGAGGAAGGAAAACATGCGTCAAAGTATGGAACTTTTCTCCTCTCTTTCCGCGTTGGCATTGTGGATAAGTCCCATTCCAACGCAAGAAGAAGAGAACAACATCTGTAATCTTCGGTTGCTTCAACAAAGCTGGATTCCATATTGAACAAAATTACTCTTTTTTTTTTGTTTTGTGTTTGACGTTAGAGTTAAGGCAGGAGAACATATTTTTCTTTTCTTTAAACAAAAAACAAATAGCAGGCAGCAATTATTTATGTTATTCCATTCTTTACGCGTACCCAAAGTTCTTTTTCATTTTCCACAAAGTCCTTTGTTGAGTTCACATGTAAGTGAGTAATTGTATGCATCCTGTGCAGGCTAGAGCGTATGCAAGGGCCATGAAGGCAACCTTTTCTTCTCAAGTGCAACCCACAACATCAATGTCAACAAGATCTTCAAATTTATTAAAGCTTTTTAACTTGCCATGGACGGTGAGAGAAACTTGACGGTTGGGGAACCTATTATCGACTTCTAATAACTTGCTTTCGCCCCAAACACTTTGTAAATATATAATAGTTCTGTCCGGTCCTTTTTTGGGCAACCAAAACCTTCTTTTCCTTTGTTGGTGAAAAAAGGGATGAACGATGAAGATCAATAGCTAAGAGAATTGAGATGTTTGTTTCACCTCAAGGATTAGGTGACCTTTTTTTTTTTCCCTTGTAATTCTTTCTCTATTCTTCTTTTTTTGTTTTTGCCAAAAAAAATTTTTGTTTTCTTGCTCTTAGGGATCTCGCCTTCTACACTGTATGTAGAAGATTAAAAGTCTTTAGACTTGATGGGTTGTTTCTTTATCCCTAAAAGAGGGCGAAAAATATCATCAATGCATGCAATGCAATGAATGTTTCGGCTTAATGAGAAATAGATAATTGGAATTAGAAACGGTGAAATTGTTACCCATCATCCTGGAAAATGGAAAAGGAGAGTCAATATTCAATAAGCTACTCTTGGGCCAAGTAATACAACTGTGGAGGCAAACTACGAGCCCGTTATCTATGAAACCTTGCGTTATCATTGGTGCTGTGTCTGTACTTTTCAGCCCATTGCTTACCACTTTTTCTTTGCTCATTGTTGCGCGTGAGCCCAATTTATACGGGTGTTATGCGACATTATGTGGGCCTAAACCCAATTTAGCTAGCTAACAAACTTTGTCTTCTCGTCTGCATTTTTTCCCAGCATTTTACAGTAGGCCCACTCCCGGTTTGTGTTAGATTCTCTTCATCAATTGTCATTGGTTTTCTGCTTTTGTTTTTTTTTTTTTGGTAAGACATGATTTCATTGCCATGAATCTATATTAAAGACAAAAAATATATCAATGGTCATAAGAAGATTTATTTCGTTGGAAATAACTGAGCAGAGATTCAATTTAATTTGATGAGGCTATTTTCCTTGGAGTTTTCATTTTGTGTTTCACATATTATTATGCCATAGAAATGTAGAGAGAAAAGAATGGCCCATAAAACCTATGCTTGATTTCCTTTTACATAATTTGGGTTGAAATCAAACCTTAGCTACATTTGATTTCTTTTTTTTTTTTAAGAGATATGTTGATGGTCTTGTACAATCCAATTCTACAACAACAACTACTGACTCGGTCGTGTTGTATTCAATTCCATTTGCTCCGCACGTTTCAGACTCCCAAGCACTTGCAAGGGACATTTTGCATATCTGATTTTCAGACAGCATGACTCAGATTGTATCACTTCATTTTACGATATGACGTTGCATAATTTGGTTCATTGAATTTTTTGGCCCTGGGGCAGGAATAGTTAACAGAAAATTTATTTGGACCGATTTTATATATTTTACATAAGACGTTACTTGATTTGCACGTGATATAACTTATTTTGTACAATGTGTAATTATAAAACAAAATTTTATACATCTCACGTATGATGTAAAAAATGATATATAAAATGAAATCTAAACCTTATATATTATTTTTTGGTAAAATCTTGACCATCAACATCCGGAACGCAATCGTTCCTGATAATTTTGTACAATTTACACACCGCATAACTTTATTTGCATAACATATAATTTTAGAACAAAATTTTATGAGCTCCACACACATTATGAAAATCGAAATAGAAGACGTGATTTGGACCATATAATTTTTTGTGGCCAGGATCTGTGCAGGGACGGTCCTTCTCTGAGTCTTTGCAGACCTAACTAAAATTGAGGACTTTTACTAGTGCTACTCCTTAGCCTTTCGAAAGGGAGGGAAAGCCGGATACAAGCGGGACTAGCAGTGAACAGTTTCAGGATACCATCAATCAAATCCAATAGATCGTGTGCTGTTTGAAAACTAATTGGCAGTACAAGTCAATGTGATGATTACTCTGTCAGTACAAACATCCAATCACCGTCACTTCACTACAATAGTTAAATAAGTTTTGCATTCCCAGTCCGAACCTCACGAAGCCATCATATCATTTCTTTCCTCAAGAAAATATGTACTAGTATACTAATGACTTGGTTTACAGTAAAAAAAAAAAAACCATAAATTTGTTCTTAACTAACTTCATCTCGTGCATGAACGTAGAATTTCATTAAAAAAAAAAAAAAAGCACTTTTGCGTCTAATGTACTCACAAGCACTTGTACATGTACGATTAGTGTATATTGACCACATGGAAGAGAACGATTTGGATACAGGCAAAGCTACCATTTTTATGATACTTGTACTACATTTCTTCTCTGATGGAGTAATAGTTGTAGACCGTTCATGGGTTCATTCTGATTTTACTGACCGACACCTTATCATAAGAGACATTAATTATAGTGTCTGCTGTACTGTATAATTGTCAAGAGAAAAATGAATAATATTAATGTGTGAAATCTGGGTAATTCCCACAATACTATGTAGCTACTCGATGTAGGCATTATGCTACTACAAAATGCTAGATGTAGGCATTATGCAAACACTTGCGCTTGTATTTGCAAATGAAAGGAATGAAACCTCGAATGGATTTATATATGCGTGCGCATTGTCACACGGGATTCAGAGTGCTACTTTTTTAGTGATAATTTAATATCATTTCTATATTTATGTCAAGTGTCCCGTTTATTTAATTTATCATGCGTTATTTATTTAAATTTCTTCTACCATCACATGTGATAAGTGAAATTGACACTGAATTTAACATCGAGTAGTGACACAGAGGATCCCAACTGACACGTTGTGTACACCAGATACGTACAAGCCAGTGCAAGCTGTCCAATTCATATGTTTAATGGAGTTAACACCTTATACCCTGTTACGCACCAAGCCATAGCCCAAAAAAAACTGCTATATTTCGTCACAACTATCACACAAGAAGAAGGGTCCAATGCCACCATATCACTTGCAACCCCAAATAAATCTGATCTTCTATCAAATCTGCAAAAACTCAAGACACACACAAATATTTCTTTTGGGGTTCAGAGATTTAATGGTATGTATCACAACTAGTGTCCAATTCATGTCATTATAACACTTACATTACATTACATTACAAGTCCCAAAAAAATCTGATGCGTATCAAATCTGCTAAAAATGAGACACTTAACAATAACATCTCCGTTGGGGCGTAGAGATTAATGATCTGTATCATAATCATATAAATCTCTAAGCACCAAAGGAGCAAAAGCTTGCCAACATCTCCATCTTCTATCTTATTTACGACGTAAGAATATTCGGAGTCCTTTGGATGCTACTCTGCAATTCTTTAAGCTACGAATTTTGTTGAAGTAAGTTTCTTCCATGCTTGCACCACCAGGACCTCTTTCCTTTGAAAGGTGAATGTGCACTTCATCCAAAACCCTACCATGTTTGAGAAGATATCTCAGCACCAAAAGTTCATTTGGCTCCCCTTTAAACCCTTCCACATAAACTGATTTTAACTTGCTCCTCAAGCAAGTGTAGTTTGGTTGATATCGTCCAGCATACAAAAATGCATGATGCTCAATGTCAAATGGAGGGTCGCACTCCTGAAGCCACGGCCAAATTTACGTGTTGTTAGAATTTTGCAGAATAGACACTATGAACCGAGAAGGGTGCTAAATGAAACTATCAAAAACTTCAGGGGAGATTTCTGAAATTACCCCTTGAGAAAAAAATGATTGAAAGAAAGAAATTTGAAACTCACCCGAAAAATTCTGATTGAAGTAGTAAGGTCAATTGTGAGGACCTCAAGATTAGGACAACTATTGAGAAAGAAAGTGATCCCGTAGAATTCCCTTCTGTCCAAGGATGTCTTCAGCGTCAGGCAGTTCACACACCCAAGAACAGGCTGCAACTTGAGTGGCTCTCCCCAGTAGGAATTACCTTTACCACCACCACCCCGGCCCCAAAAAGAAAAAAAGGCAGAAGAAGTTGAGTGGCCTCATATCTAAATATTGCACGAACAATGCACGATCAGGATATCTAACATGAGATTGCAATTACTCTTCGCAAGACCTGTGCATTATAGTCTACACTCTACTAGATAGCCTCCAATGTACAAGCTTTTTGAATCCACATTGCACTGTATAATTTAAAAAAGTGCAGGGAATGTAGTATCATTCAATGACAAAAAAAAAAGTTTGTTATTCAATGATAATATGTCACCCTACTAAATTAGTACGACTTTTTGGTTTCAGATTTCAGCAATTCAAAGAAAATGTTAATGTTCTTCTAATTGCCAAATTTATTTGTAGAGGTTGTGATTTCAACAAGTCCGGTTTTGGTCCTCGTACTTTCATACTATGTGATCAGGTATTTTCCAGGTACTATTCCCAGCCAGTCTTAGATGATCATATGATTTTTGTGTTGAAGGCCAGAATTCAAACGACTTGTACAATAGGAATTGCCCAAAAGGAAATTGCTCAGTTTTCGGGGATTGCAAGAAAATCTATTCTGCATTGAATAACTTGCTCAGTGCTGGATCAGAGGAACACCCAGAATCTTGTTTGGAGGTCACAAGGAAGAAGTACATGCTAAAAAGTTCTGATTTTGATGCAAGTAGGAGGCTTTTCAGTGACAAAATTACTAATCCAAAGAAGCTGTTGCCAATTTTTATGTCCTTCGTATTTACTCTATATATATATATACTTTTCTCTACGTTTTTGTCAGGGGATATTCTTTAATGTTTTTCACCTCCACAGGAATCACTTGGCATGCCCATATATTGCACGATATTTCTTCTTATTATTCCTTTTTTTTTCCCACCTCTACGACAATGATCAGTTATAATAATATTGCACAGATATTGGACGTAATTAGTATTCGGTTGCTTGCTAGGAGAGCGTAAATGACTCATTTTAAAATGTAGTAGCAGTGAGAATCAAATGAAAATGCCTAGCAGGGAAAAAAAAAAAAAGAATCAAATGGAAACAAATCTGATGGAGAAATTTGATATGAATAGTTACCTGAAGCATATAACTGCAAATGGTCAGTGTCCTGACACAAGCAATTTCAGCTAGGAGCGCACAAAGAATGTCCCCATATTCACCATATTCCCCGTGGAGACCAAAATCAAGGTCCGCCTCCTCCATTGATCCAGCCTTTCAAACTCAAATGTAGTCAGCACTCCAGAATACTTGAAGACTCGCAATTTCGGAGCATTAATCAGGATGTTTGGCATCCTCATGTTAGGTCCAGCTCCAGAGCACTTCTCTAGGACCAAGGTCTTCAACCTCGGGCCAATAACCTCGAAGTAACCAGCATGAAAGCAATTCTTCGTACTCAGAGTCTCTAGTGCAGGACACTTTTCCATCAAGTTCTTGATAAAAGCAGAAGGCAGCCCAATCCATCCCAAATGAACACTCTTCAGAGCAGTGAAATTCGGGGATGCCTGCGAAATTCGTGGAGGATTGCAAGAAAACAGCCTCAAAGATTCTAGAGTACGTTTGTGTTGATCATCAATGTTGGGCAGTTCAAGAAAGGCCTGATGACGTTGAATGATGTCTTCATCCCATTCTGGATCAGAAAAATCAAGATCAATAACTTTAACTCTACGATCAGTAGCAAAACCGACGAAATGCTCCATCTCTAGACGATGATCCTCGGGGTGAGAGAATGCCAACCCAAACTTAACTGGACCCTCAGAATCCCGATAGTTTCCAATCCATCCAGCTACAAAATCAAGAAAAGCCCTTCTCTTGTTTTGCCGGGCTTCCTGATCAGAATCCGCTGCTTCAGGAACAAAATCCCTCTCGTCAAACTCCAGGTTTCTTGTTCCCACGGGAATACGACGCCATCTTCTTGAAAGCACGGAAGTTCTTACCGCTTCCTTGAACGGCAAAAAAGAGACGATGATGAACAGGACACCGTCGGGCAAAGGGGATAATCTATCTTGGTTATCCATCGCCTCTTTAGAACGTTAAAAGGCTGAGACGGAAGGAAGAGACTATAAGGTGGTGCAAACTCGAAAGTTGGCGAGAAAATGTTGGGGATGAAGAGAGCTGATGCATGTCGACAGTACATATAGGGCTGGTAGAGTCGTGAACAGTTACGCGGGAGTCCGTCTGAAATGGGGGAGCCTGTGAAAAGGTGTGTCCTCCCAAATTTGAGTAGGCGGCGATGTATCTTTAGGGGGTTAGGGGAGAGTTGGGACGAAACGGCACCAAACGAAGGGGTGGAAACGAATATAGAAAAGGTAGTATAAAAAGACACAAAATGGATTGCATCCTTTTGGACAAGAGAGCCAAATGCAGAACTGCACAAGTGCTTGCGCGTTTTTCTATTTTTGCAGTTTTGGTGAAATGAGAAGATTGATCTGGACTTATAAAATGAAAACCATAAATTTGGTCAACCCTTGTATCGTGTATGTTGCGGGTGGAAATGGGGCCTCTCTTTAGTTATACACTGTAGTTGTGTATAGCGATAGAATTTTGATATAAATTAATGCAGTTTTAATTTAAAGTATAAACCAACCAAAGCTGGCAATTAAACCTACACTAACTCGAGAACCCCACGGGTCAGCTAAATCGGTGAATCCTCGGGCGTATTTCTCGTGGAGCGCGGTTTAAATCTGGTTTCATATATCGTCTGGGTGTTCTTGGGGGACGGGGTACTCTAGGTCCAGGAAGATTAGTCTGATAAAATTGGAATACTTTCTGAATTGATAAAAAAAAAAAAAAGGACCAGAGATTGAGCTAAGAGTCATATTATTGCATTGCTTATCTCTGTCAACTGGAATCCAATGATGCTAGACTTATATAAGGGTCCTATGCTCCAATTCCAAGCTCTCGATCGATCCAAGGCAGCGTTTCAATGCAAGCGCTACGATCCTGTGCCATGCAACTTCAATTGCGTGGTCGCTATGCACAGTAAAATCCATCGACCGACCAGTTTTGACACAAAAACATCTCAAACTTGAGGACAATAGGGATTACCTAAGAAAAAAAAAATCTTGTCGTACCACTTTAAAGCTAATTAAAGTTCCTGGTGTTACTTGTTTAATGAAGCCAATATTGACCATCTGAAGCAACTTTTGGGCGCCTTCAATTCAATTCTCCTCATGCTACAATTGCGTCTTATTTTAGTTAGATAGAACCTGCGTTGGATCCTATTAATTTTCTGTTAATCATGATATCACTGTTTATGCACGACAATAGCCGCACAAAAGCTGGCAGATTTGTGTAATTATGGAGCAATTCTACTTTTTTCCCATTTAAGTTGGGTTAAAATTTTGCATAACATCATCATCGTCAGACAAGACAATGACCACAGTGAGCTTTTTGACGTGACAAAGCTAACTGGACAACCGCAGACTACCTGGAGACTGTAGAAATGTGCGTGCAATGGACGTGGATTTCGCTATTCATAATCAAAAGTTTTATCTTAGTAGTATTAGCTTTCTCTTAATCATCTTACATGCCATACGAAAAGGCAAAAAAAAGACAATGGGACAAGTGAAAATCATGCATTGACACTTGTAAGAGAACAGATCACATAAGAGATCGACGAGTCATTAGTCTAATATAAAAAAAATTGTACGAAAGGTAAGTGAAAAAAGTGACCACTGGAGGAAAGAGATAATCAATTCCTGGAAAACTATTTTCATCCACTTTCTTTAATTCACTCTTCTAATTTAAGCAGCTGAGTCTATTTTGAGGGAGATAGCCCCACTTTTTATAAGGATTTCATCTTCGCTGGAGCAAAGGAATTTGAGGCATACAAGCAGGTGCAAGATTTTGTCTGTCCACCATATTAAGTCAATATTAATGATTTCAAGGAACTTTGTTAGGAATGTATAAACCTAAAATTACTGTATTATTAACACCACACGATAGTTTGCTCTATTTTAAGACTCTTTACGTCTGGGCATGATAAGTTATCCAGGTTTTTGGAGCTGGATCCTCGAAAGTTCATAATGGGACCATGATCCTTTGTTTTCTCCCCCTCTTTCAAAATTTTTACATATATCACTAACCGCGTAGAACGTTTTTCCATGTAAAGACTAGCATGTAGTTTGCAAGATTAGCGATCTCATTGAAATTGTTTAAAAAAGAGTCATGCAATAGATAATTCTTCAATTGTTTTTTTTTTTTTTGTAATTTTCAAGGCATATTCTTCTATTATTGCAAAAGTTAAATGATTTACATGTATTCTTGCATCTTTTTTTTTTTTCGGAGACGACAACTGTTGTATAACCTAATTTATACTACACTAGGAGGGAGGGGCGGACCTAAGGAAGTCCAGGGGTAACCCGGAGGGGACTGAACCACCATTGGATCAGATGAGTGCACTACGCATCTGTTTGGATTTTTTTGAAACCAAGTCACTTAAATATGGCATTTTTGGTGGGGGTCGCCACCAGCCTTTGGGCTAGTGGTTACATGTATTCTTGCATTTGATTAAATAATTCTTGCAAAAGTTAAATAGTGTTTATTGGAGGACCGTACCACCGGACGACGCACAACCAATTCTATTAGCCGATATCATTTATTGTTTTTATCAAAAAGAAAAAAGGAAATGTTATTTACACTCTATTTTTTATTATTTGCACTCCTACTATTTGTTTTATTATATAGTCTAATAAATGAAACCTATATATTTAATGAATAACTTTTTATATACTGCCGGCATATAATTTCTTTTATACTAACAGGTTTAAATCATTGTCACATAACATAAATGCAAATTTAAAATTCAAATCATACCTATATGACATACATTCAGAATTACTAGTGTAAAAAAATCACTATACTATCAGTATATAAAAAAGTTAATTCATATTTCACAGATGTATTCTTGCATTGGAACTTTCAGACGGATGTGCCATCAACATTTAGAAAAAATACCAAGATGTCGAACAGCTATTATGCTACGATCGCAGTATTTATAACAGAAATCAAAACCATCCCAACTCTAAGACTGCAAGGCCTTTTAGTCATTCTTTGCCAAGTAAGATTACCAAGAACTCGTACACTTCAATAGTAGGATAGAAACGTTTTAACACTACTCAGGAACACAAGTTCGTCCTCTATTCATTCCAACTTCTTCCAAATAGTTTATGAAAATAGATATATCGCTTCAAAACCCATAGATCAATACACCAGTAATGCAAACACTCTCTCCTTCTCGAAGGAGAATGGATTGAATGATTCGGAGGATGGAAATACAAGTGTAAAAGGACTCGGTTCCAACCCGTTCACTTGCACTAAAAAAAATGCAACCACCCTCGCAATTCTTGGGTGTACCAAATAATGAAAGAGCCTAGACCGGTGAAAAGAGAAGTCTGGGCCAGAGGGGGGCCAAGGACCTTTTTTTTTTTTTGGGGGGGGGGCGTGTGGGGTTGTGGAAGGGGCAGTTAGCACGCAGCCATGCAGACCCTTCGTCCTCCTGAAGCTTAATTCACCTCAAGGGTGCAAGAAGCAGTTATGTGCCCGGAAAATATATTTATCAATCCAATTGCAGCTGCTAAACAAATTACAGCTCCTGATTAAGCACAAAGTATAAACCAACATCTGTAGAAGAAAGAGCAAAATTTAGCAGGCAACATTTGCAGCTCAAATTTACAGCAAGACGCCACTGAAAGCAGTTGGACATCCTTCCAGCAAGCCTCAGGCAACATATCTTAATTCTTCACAACCACACCAATAGGCCTCACAAGCCATGATCGAAGCCAATGAATTAGCATCAACCAGCTGAGTTCTCGTGCAGCAGGACATACTCACGGCTGCCAAAACACACATTCAGGAATCAGGATCACTAAACAATATTCGTACTTAACTTCAAATGACAATACAGGCCAAAAGTGGAATATAGAGAGATAGTGGAGTGCATTGTCCGTCCCATAATAATGTACAGGCACATATCCTTGAGTAACACATATTGCACCAACTTTGATAATACCATTAATACATATGGTACATGAAGCTAAAAGAGAACAAAACAAGAAACATTTAACAACTTGTAGTTTGGACCAGAAACGAGCTTCTGGGATCAGTATCCATGCCCAAAAATAACAAAAGAAAGTCACTTCACATTCCCATCAGCTAAGACCTACTTGCACCGTTCCTGCTGCTGAATGCTTCCACTTGCCCTTTTAAAGTTCAAAATGACATTCTTCTTTCATAGCACAAAAGTCCAACATATGGAAAATACATCCCAGGCAACTATTTGAGATGAAAAGGTCTAGGTAAAATTGCAAAACTGGATCCCTTATTTCCACATGATCATGGAGGTCAGCGAAGATCAAGTTATTCTAAATACATAAGAGACTTCATACTCCCAAAAGCACAAGATAAACTTGCATCCTTATCCAACTTAAATTCTATAGTTTCTCCTTTTTGTTTTCTATTACAGGTTGATCTTTTGTCTACTCTTCTCAACTTCGATACACTGGTAACCAGAATGGAAAACCAACAAATAACAACACCAGCTGGGAAATTAGCACCCTCAAAATATTAAGCAAGCAAACAACTTTCGGAATCCAGACAAAGTGTCTGTAGCTCATGATAGACACCTGTTTTGATCACATTCAACAGTCCAGTATGCGGTTTAAAAATCAATGCATGCAACTAACAAATAAATGGATGCATCACAAAACATAAATATACATGCAGAAATAAAGATAACAATAACATAGAGCATGACTGTGATACCGTAGGCAGACTTTCAATTTCAAAGGAAACCAAAAAAGATAACTTGAATATGCAGCCTACCTACTATTACCAAACTTAATCGTATCTTTTTCAAAAAGTTCATAATATTTCTGAGCTTCAATTCGATCATCCTGCAAATTAAAACCAAATGTAAAAACATAATTTGGCAACACAAATCAAATGTAGATGCTTCCCATACAAGAGAAAAGGCAAATTACATAAAGACAACTAATATAACTAACAAAGTGCTTACATTGATAAAAGTTCCATTGGTGCTCCCAAGATCCATTATATAAGGCCTAGATTATACAAGACAGGGGCAAAACATATCAGTCCTATAAGGGCATATCATTGCCATCTAAGGGAAGGTAAAAAATCTAAAGCTACACATTAGTCTTACTTTACTATCTTCGATACTGTACCATCAGGTTCTCCTTCTCAACTTGCCTGCAAGTAAA